CTCTACAATCCTAAAATTAATTGTCCCTTCTCAGAACTCCAGCCTGATTTTCAATAAATCAATTATTCAACAAGCATTTATCAAGCTACATGCCATGTGCAGTACACTGCCTTAAGCACATGGGCACAGAAACAAAAGCAGAACGTTCCCTTGCCATCAAAGAGCTCATGTTCGAGTGGAATAGACATTATATACATTTATAAATATATACAGATTGTGTACCGGACATTTTATGAGGGAGGGCACTAGGAAATGGGGATACCTGGAGAGGTTTACTGTAGAAGGTAGATCTTAGCTTGTGTTTTGTAGGAAACCAGGGATTCCATGAGGTAGAGGTGAGAAGGACGTGTATTTCAATCATGGAGTACAGCCAGTACTCTACAGAACGGAGACAGTTGATGGAATGTTGTATGTGAGGCATGACAAGAAGGTTAGTATAACTGGACTATAGAGTGTATAGAGAAGAGTAACATATAAGATGACTGGAAAGACAGAGAAGAGGCTACAAGATCTATAAACACCAGATTGATTCTAATGATAATAGGGAGCCATTATAATTTATTGAGTAGTGGGGTGATATGGTCAGTCTGTGCTTTAGGAAAATCATGTTGATGTCTGTGTGAAGAATGAAGAGAGAAGAATCAGGGAGACCAAATAGGCTATTGCAATAATCTAGATGCAAGAGGTGATGAGAGCTTGGACTAGGGTGATGATTGTGTGAGTAGAGAGGAGATGGATATTAGTGAAAGGAATAGCAAGATTTTGCAGCTGTTTGGACATGTGAGGTGAGTGGAACCAAGGAGCTAAGGAGCTTGGCCATGGGGCCAAGGATGACACCACAATAGTGATTCTAGGTGACTGGCAGGATGGTAGTGCTCTTGATTGTAGAGGGGAAGTTCAGAAGAATGGATGCTTTTGGAAAGATAATGAGTTCTGCTTTAAACATGTTGAATTTAAAATGTCTAATGGACGTGCAGATTGAAATATCTAATAGGCAGTTGGTGGTGTAGGATTAGAGTTCTGGAGAAAGATTAAGGCTGGATATATAGATTTAGTAGTCATATTTATAGAGATGATAGTCACATCTATAGGAGCTGATGAGATTACCAAGTGAGAGAATGTAGCAATAAAAGAGAAGAAGGCCACACAAAGCCTTGGGTTATACCCACAGTTACCGAGTATGGCATATAGATGGAGGTCCAACCAAGAATCCTGAAAAGAAGAGGTCAGACAGGTAGGATAAGGATCAGTGTCACGAAGACTCAGAAAGGAGAGGGTATTCAGAAGGATAGCATGACCAATAGTGTCAAATGCTGCAGAGTGGTCTAGAAAGATGAAGATTGAGATGAGGGCATTGGATTTGGCAATTACAAGATCATTGGTAAGGTAAAAGAGCAGTTTAAATACAGTTATGAAGTCAGAAGGTACTAGAGTACACAAGTGTTGATAAAGGAGTGAGAAGAAAAAGAGTAAAGCTATCAAGTGTAGAGAGCAAATAGAGTATAGATGATAGCTAGAGGGGATGGTAGGATCTTGTTAGGGTTTTTTGTTTGTTTTTTTGTTAAGGTTGAGGGCAGCTAGATGGCACAGTGAATAGAGCACTGGGTCTGGAGTCAGGAAGATTAATCTTTGTGAGTTCAAACCCATCCTCAGATACTTACTAACTCTGTGACCCTTGGAGAGTCACTTAACCCTGTTTGCCTCAGTTTCTTCATCTGTAAAATTAGCTGGAGAAGGAAATGGCAAACCAATCCACTGTCTTTGCCAAGAAAAGTCCAAATGCGGCCACAAAGAGTCAGACACAACTGAAATGATACAACAGCAAGGTTGAAGGAGACTTGGGCATTTATTTACGCAGAAGGGAATGAATGAAGAGATAGAGAAGATTGGAGGGGGTGATAGTAGGGACAATCATTTGAAGAAGGCAGGAGGGGTCCTGATCAAATGGCCTTGGAAGGGAGAAGGGGGAAATAGTAGAGGATGTTGTCAGGGGGTTGTGAGATGAGAAGAAAAGTGTGTCAGGTAAAGAATCCAGAGCTTTTCTGGACAATGAAGCACTTTGCTTTTTTTTTCCCCTTTCTCTGGTTCTCTAGTTCTGTGTCCAAACTCAGATACAACTCACCTCTTCAGTCTGTGTATCCTTCTCCTTTTTCTCTAAACCCTCTGTAAGCCCACTGGAGAGGCCTCCAGAGATCACATTGAGTCTTGCAGGCCTTCCCAGATCCCTCCATTCCCTTGACTTTTCAGGGTCTAAGCTTTTCTGTGTCAATTCCCTAATACCATCATTACAAGAAGATAATATTCATGTAGGTAACAATGTACTATCTCTACAGATGCATCTTCTGTTACCTGGACCATCCCGGTTCTTCAGATACTGTGTTGCTACTGTTTCTGTATTTTGTTCACTTTCCCCTGTCCTTGGGTGGGAGCTTTGGGACAAAAATGGCCTTGAGGATGGTGGTATAGAGGCAATCTGAGTCTGAGTTTTTCAATTCAAATTCAATTTATTGGAAAAGAAATCAGACAAAGAATAGAGGGGAGGGGAGCAGAAAAGGGTACAGCAGGCTTAACCTATAAGGTCAGGTAAGGGTCTCTGATCCAAAAGACTTTGGCTCAAGTCCTAACACCGATGGTTGCTGATTGTATGACCCTGGCCAAGGTATCTGTCTTCTTAGGCACCTCTTTATGAAGAACATTAATGACAGTCTAGTGATTGGAAGGGCCAGAGAAGAGTACTAATAGTGGAAATGGGGAAAAGGGAAAGGTGTGGTTGTGAGAGGAGTGAATAGCATATAGGATGGGCTTGCCAGAAGATCAGTCAGAAGATCACTTTGAGATTATAATACCCTTAGAAGGGTCATTGCAGTAATTGTCATCCGTACAGCAGTTGACCAGAACACTAATGCCATTGTGTATCTTCTCACCATCTGTGCAGTCATATTGACAGCTTGTTTCAACCTCCACCCTTTTTCCTGTGAAGGGAGAGTCCGAGGTACAGAAAGCCCCCTACCTGAAGCCTGAGCTATGGGTCCTCCACCCTTGGAGCTGAGACACACTGTCCCTTAGTTTTGATTTTCTGTAGGACAAGAATTCTTTTTTTTCTTTTTATTTTAATAAAATTCCACAAGATTTTGAGTTCCAAATTTTCTCCCCACCTCGTCCCTCCACCAACCCCAAGACAGAAGTGCATTCTGAATACCCTTTCCCCTAGTCTGCCCTCCCTTCTATCTCCCCCCTCCTCTTTCTCTTATCCCCTTCCTTTTCTATTTTCCTGTAGGGCAGGCTAGATTTCTGTACCTCATTGTATATCTTATTTCCCAGTTGCATGTGAAAACAATTTCTTAACATTTGTTTTTAAAACTTTGGGTTCCAAATTTTCTCCCTTCCTCCCTCCCTAGGGCAAGAATTCTTAACCTGGGGTTCACTGATCCCTATGGACAGATTTCAGGGGATCTGTGAACTTAAGGGAGAAAAATTACATCTTTGTTTTCACTAACATTTGCTTTCCTTTGTAATTCTGTGTATTTTATTTTATGCATTTAAAAATTATTTTGAGAAGAGGCTCATAGGCTTTACCAGACAGCCAAAGTAGTCGATGGCACAGGAAACATAAGAACCCATGCTTGAGAGAATAATTGGTCACCTGAAACCTATCTGTGTTTAAATCCCAGAAGAAAGTCCTTTAACCCCAATCCAGCTAAAGTTGTCAAGATTTTCCTGAATCCTTCATAATGCATTCAGACAGGGTAGACAAGGGGCTCTTTACATCCTGGGAGGGAGCTGGGTATGCATTGTGGTGGTTCCAGGGACAGAGAGTAGCATGCCAAGCATGCACAATGTTTGTACCACCTTGTGATAGATGCTTCTTTATTGTGGCCACTTAGTAGTCTAGGCCCCATGAACCCTTTCCAAAGCCTGTGCAAACTTCCATGGAGTCAGTGGGGATACTTGGGACATTTTGGAATAGGACAAGTCAATGATAAGGGTGCTTCCATAGGTTGCCTAACTTCCCTAACTCCTGGATCCCAACCCATAGGGTTTCACTGAGGCTGAACCATCCCAAGGGATCAGGCACAATCTGCTCCTCTTACCTGACTCCTCCCTACTCTAGCAATGAGGACACAGTCCCTTTCCCCAGAGTTCCCTCTAAGAATGCATTACCTTTTAAATTGGTGATTTATATTTGCCTTTGGCCTCCAGAGAAATAATCAGGCAGTAGGTATATCATATCTTATCTGGAGCTGCCTCAAAAAGGAGGTTAAGAGGGGACCAGGGAAGGAAGCAGGACCCCCTTGAGAGTTTCTTCCTTGCTCTTTCTCTATCCCATACCAGATGGCACTTACTAGTATCATAGAGATTTGTGGTTCTCTGGATCATGCAGGATTCACCATACTCCAGAGCACATGTTCTCAAATCTTCCTGACACTTCTCATTTTTGTAGGATGAACATAGAACACATCGGATGATTTTAGTTTGCGGGACAGATAGCTGGGATCTTTTCCTCGGTGGCATGGAGAGAACAAGGTGGAAAGTGGAAGGTCAATGTCATCTTGAGTGTTTCCCCCAAAGAAAGCAGAGATCACTACCCCTGTCTCAATATACTTCACCCAGGCCTTGTCTTGGGACCTTGTATAAACAGAGCTATGGTCCTAGAACAAGAGAGGCAGGCTGAGGTCTCAAGTTCTTATTCACTATTAATGGTCATCTGGTCTAACCTGCAGCCTTTATAGAGAAGGAAATTAAGACCCAAAGAATTTCAGTCCCCTAGAAAGAACTTTCTCAGGGTATACATGTATTTAGGAGAAGAATCTCAAGGACCCACAAGGAAAGGGAGAGAAACTGAGGGAAATTAGGGGTGCTGACTTCTATATTACCCCTGATGATGATCTGTGGGATAGACCTACAAATGATACCCTTAATGTCCCATCCCAAGACTTACCACTTGAAATGCAGAGCAAAGAGAGGCTCAGCAAAAAATTTTTGTTCATTTTGTTCCTCAGCTTGTCCCTGGATGGAAGTTCAAGAGGATGGTGACCAGAAGGCCCACAGGTACAACAAACTGAAGTAGTGGCTGCTGAAAACTACTCTTCCAGTGCTGCCTGACTTATATTTTCTGGCCTATAGGAAGTGGCCAGTTAGGGAAAGAGGAGGAGAATAAAGCAGAGAACCAATCTAAATACCTAAGGTCTCCTTTGTCCTCCCACTTTACATACTCTCTCCACCCATCTCCTCTCCTTAGGACACACAGTTTTTAGGGTAGCCTGGCTGCAGGGGACTGGGGATCCTTTACTCAATCATTTGGTATTGTGAGGCCCTGCTCCTGTATGCTGAGGCTGCCCAATGCCATACTATATGTATGTTGTAGAGGACATGGGAGAAAAAGGCATACTCATGATTCATACAAGATGATCTGAGACCTGTTAGGCATGAACCTGCAAGCCACACTCTAGTTGCTCTTCTAGGAGGTCATAGAATCTCATACTTGTAGATACATAAACTCAGAGAGCTGGAAGGGGCCTTTGAGAATAGTCTGATGGGGAGGAAAAAGCGTTGGAATGGAGTCCAGGAACCTGGGTCTGTGTCATGGTTATGAGGCTTCCTAAGAGTTTATTTTATTTTTTAATAAACCATAAACAAGTCATTTAATCTCCTTAAGTTTCACTTTCATTTATAAAAAGAATTGTTTAGATGGGATGATTCACAGGTCTCCTAGTCCTAAATCCTATAATCTTATGACAAGTAGCAGAGAGCAGAAGTCATGGAGAAGTAGATATTGGATAAAAGGAAGAATTTCCTAACCAAGCCATCCAAAAATGAAATGGACTTTTCCAAGAAAGAGTGAATTCCCTATTGCTGGAATTGTTTAACTAGGGGCTGAATTGCCACTTGTTTGGGATTCAGATTTTGGGTAGAAGTTGAAAAACGAAACCCCTCTGAGGCTTTCTCTAGCACTACAAGTTGATTTTGTGACTAGATGACTCCTAAGATCCATGATAGTTTAAGAAGTCTTTAATTCTATCTTCACATTTAAGGACTCCCTCATTTAAGGGCTGAGTGGCTTGTCCATAGTGACACAGTGAGTTAGAGACTTATCCAGAATGAGATCTTCCTTCACAATGCTACCTCTAAGAGAGAGATAGTAAATCTGTGAAGGTTCATAAGGAGATAGGACTCAAGCTAGTCCTTGAAAAAAGGAAGGCTATGGACAAGTGGAAAGGAAGGTAAAGGCATTGTATTCCAACCAACCTTGAAGGTTTCAGTGGGATTGAGGCTCATGCTGGCTAAGGTACAGTTATATTTCAGCTGGTTTTTCTCATCATTTTCTCCCCAGGGAATGTTGAAGAGTTATATTGGCTACAAATGAAAGATTGCGCGTGAGTTACTGGAATTGAGAACCAGACCTGTAAGGTTACCTTCCCAGATTCATCAGAAAGTTGCTATGGTTCAGGTGGAAAAGTCCCTGTATCTCTTTCAGCTGAAATTTCTTATAGGAAAATTGGGATTCAAGTGACTCCTGGGGAGGGCTATGGAATAGAGGACATAACCTGTGAAGACATCCTCCAGTGATATGTTAGTTGTGTTCTGCTGTGTTGTAGATTACTCTCTCTTCTTATCCATCTGTCTGTGAGAATAGGGCCGAGTCTCTCTCATTTGGAAGCACAAAGGGCTTAGCTGATTCTTGGGCCAGCACCCACCTAAGGGGCACTGGCTAGTTTGTTCTGAACATTCTGCTTCATGTGTTTTGAATGATAATGTCTCTACTGAGAAGGAACACTTACTTCTTTCAGGTGAAATATTATTTGGGTAATTAACTCTTGTACTCGGGATTGTCGTGTGTGGGTGGTAGTGGTGGGGAGGATAGGTTGTGGTGATGGTGACAGCTCTGGGTGAATTGGGAAGAAGTGAGAACACAAATAGAGTTAGGAGGGCTACTGCTAGGAACAACTCACCTACTTATGACCAAGAGAGAATCAATAATGCAGGGGGGCTTGAAGAGTTCCAAGGGATATGTCTGGGAGATGACCTGCAGCTTGTTGAGTTTTTATAGTTAGACTGTTAATAGGACTCCCAACGACTGAGTGAGCCCATCAACAAAGAGATTCCAAAATCATTTTGAAGTTGCATGAACCTTTCACAGTTTTCTTTTGTACTTTCTAAGGGGAACTGAGGAGATCCACTGATATCCCTTTAATCATTCAACAAAGCATTTATAAAGCACTTAGCACAGTAACTCTGCTAAACATTGGGGGTACAAAGAAAGGCACAAACCATTGTCCCTGCCGTCAATGAGATCACATCATAATGGGCAAGACAATATGCAGAAAAAATTGCACATATACGTAATATGCATACGCATATACACATACATACACATATACGTATACATATGCATATATGTTGTTCAGTCATTTTTCAGTTATGTCAGAGTCTTTGTGACCTCATTTTGGGTTATCTTGGCAAAGATTCTGGAGTGGTTTGCCTTTCGTTCTTCAGCTCATTTTACAGATGAGAAAACTGAGGCAAACAGGGTTAAATGATTTGCCCAAGGTCACACAGCTAGACAGTGTCTGAGACCAGATTTGAATCCAGAGAGGTGAGTATTCTTGACTCCAGGCCTGGCACTCTATCTGGCCTGGCACCATCTAGCTGCCCAAATAACATAAATATGCCCATATACAGTTATCCCTTCCACATCTCAACTTTTCCCATCTCGGTTTTGATACATTGTGGATCAGCATAAGAAATTAAATGAAAATTTTGGGGGCAGTTTTGTGGAAGCCACAGATGACATGCAAAGGTCAGCAGACAACACAGAAAATATTTATAAACTCAGAAATGCATAAAATATATAGTATTATACAATATCAACATATTTCATCTTTTAATACCATAATAATTCAGACTTCTTCTCTGGTAAGAAGAGAGGGCCAAAAAATTTTACACAAATTTTCCAGATCAAGGAAGCATCACACTCCTAACTCCTGTCCTGTAGAAGGGATAACTGTAATATAAATGGGAGGTGTTTACATATATGTATACATATGCGTAAACACCTTCCATTTATATTATATGTTTATAACTCTATATTTATCTCATATATAGTCCTAGCTACCTAAATTATGTGTGTATATATATATATATATTTTAATTTATATATATGTACACACATACATACATACATACACACACACACACACACAATCTCTCATTTACGCATACATATATAGTGTAAATGGAAGACTATCTCGGGGGAGAGCGCTAATAGTAGGTGTTTAGAACAGAAGAACTGAGAAGGACTTCTTGGGGCAGCTAGGTGGCACAGTGGATAGAGTACTGGCCCTGGATTTAGGAGGACCTGAGTTCAAATCTGGCTCAGACCGAACACTCAACACTTACTAGCTGTGTGACCCTGGGCAAGTCACTTAACCCCAATTGCCTAAAATTAAAAAAAAAGAGAGAGAGAGAAGATAGGATTTGAGCTAGGTCTTGAAGGAAGCCAGGGAAGTCAGGAGGCAGAGGTGAGGAGGCAGAACATTCCAGATATGGGGAATAACCAGTGAAGAGGTACAGAGTCCAGAGATTAAAGGTCATGTGTGAACTAGTAAGTCAGTGTCCATTGGATCATAGATCAGAGGTGCTAAACTTGTGGCCCACCACACTCTTAAGTGAGGCTGAGGCAAAAATGTATTTGGGAAATATTTAGCAAAATAAATAAAAATACAATACTACATAATATTAATTTGTGATTTTCTAAGTCAACATGCGGCCTGTAGGGATTCTTTCTATTCTAGTTTGACAACACTGTGGTAGAATTTAGGGAAGAGACTAAAATGTAAGAAGACTTTATGGTTAGGCAGAGGCCAGGTTGCAAAGGGCTTTAAATTCCAAACAGAGGACTTTATTTTTGATACTGCAGACAATTGGGAACCACTAGAATTTGTTGGGTATAGAGCTGATTTGGTCAGACCAAAGATCACTTTAGATACTAAGTGGAGGATGAGCTGGAATGGGGAGAGGCTTGAGGCATGAGGCAGGATGATCACCCAGAAAACTACTGAAGTTGTGCAGGTGTAAGGCAGTGATCGCCTGAACTAGAGTGTTGGGTCTGTGAATGGGGAGATGGGGAGAAGGCAGAAATAATCTTACTTGATAACAGATTGGATACGTAGGGTGAGTGAGAGTGAAAGGCTAAAGATGCCACCAAGTTGGTGAACTTGGGTGATTGAGAGTGTGGTGGTCTCCTAGACCAGAGGTGTCAAGCACATTGCCTGACCACTTCCAAGTGAGGCCTGAACCAGATTAAAATGTAATTGGGAAATCCTTAATAAAATACAATAAAACACAGGTAATGTTAATTTGTAATTTTGTAAGTCAATATGTGGCTTGGAGGGATTCTTATGTATAGTTTAGTGACCCCGATTTCTATTTGAGTTTGACACCATTAGACAATAAATAGGGATGTTTGGAAGAAAGAAGGGTTTCAGGGTAGGGGTAACCAAATTAATCAATAAATATTTATTAACTACCTATTATATGTCAGGCACTGTGTTAAGTGCTGGGAATACAAAAGACAGTCTCTGATCTCAAGAAGCTTATGATATAATAGGGGAGACAACTTTTGAACAGATAGCAAGCTATATGCAAGATGAATAGGAAATAATTGGGTATCAAGGAAGAGAGAGTGATCAACAGTGTCAAAGGTTGCAGAGATTTCAAGAAGAACAAGTAAAATGAAGGTAAGATATTGAGTTCTGTTTTGGACATATTGGGTTTGAGATGCCTAAGGGACACCCATTGGGAGATATCCAAGAGGAACATGTGAGGCTGTTTATGTAAGACTGGAACTCAGGAGAAAGATTGGATAAATAGATTTGAGAATCACCATTGTTTCTCAACCTCCTTTACTCCCATGGGCTACAGCCTTATCACCCTTAGCTATTCCCAGGGATCACTATAAATTAGGTTACACTGTTACTCATAATCGTGTAACCCCCGTGATCTAGAACTCTGAAATTCCCCTTTCATCAAATCTCTTATATTTCCATTTCTTTCTCTGCTTCACTCTTCTTAAGCCTATTCTTTATCCTCACAAGGTCATCTAGATTCCCCATACTTCTCTGTTCTATCAGTCCACTCTCTTTGAATAATAGGATCATTAAATCATAGGTCCAGAACTCTAAGGGACTTCAGAGGTCATCTAGTCCAATTCTCTTATTTTATAGACGAGAAAATGGGGCTCTAGGGAAGTTAAGTGACTTGCTGAAGGTCACACAGGTAGTAATTTTCAAAGGTAGGATTTGAGTCCTCTGTGTTCTTTCCAGTGTACCATGCTTCTCTCAAGTCATGACCCTATGATTGACCAATTCAGTGATAGCAGGAGTTCTTAATCTTTTGATGTCATGGAACCCTTGGCACTCTGGTGAAGCTTATGGACCCTTTCTCAGAATAATGTTTTTAACTACATAAACTATTGTATTACAAAGGAAACTAGTTGTTTTAAAATAGTTATCAAAATGTGTTTTTTTTTCAAGTTTACAGACCCTAGTTAAGAACTTCTAAACTATACCCTACCCTCTACTCTTAAATAACTTTCCTTTTGGCCCCTTGTCTTATTGCCATGCATGCCTTGCCCAGTCCCAGCCTTGGTTATCCCCACTACTGAGCCTCTCCATTTCTCCTTGTAAACTTTTACTAAATACTAATATGACTGTGCTGAATGGGTTCACTAAAAACTTATGTCATTTGTTCTCAACTGAGCCCTTGTGGTTGCATAGCAATTCTTTTATTTTTCCTTGATTGACTATCATGCTTCCCATAGTAGTTATTACAAACATTTTCTTTTCTCTTCCAGCCCCCAATACTACTCCCTTCCCCCTCTCTTGCAGTAAAGGACCTTGCCTCCTATTTTAGGGATACGTGGAGGTTATCAGCTATGATCTCCTTCTTCTCCTTTATTACCACATCTCAAAACATCAGCCTCTCCTTCCCTCACATTCTCTCTTCTTTTACTCTCATCTTCAATCTCCTTTTATCTACTAACTCCTTCCCCTAGCTGCCTACAACTATAGTTAGATTTCCCTAATCCTTAAAAACCCTTCCCCTGACCTTTCCATTCCCTCAAACTATGATCCTATATTCCTTCTGCATTTCAGAATCAAACTCCAAGAAAAAGTTGTCTATAGTTTTGCCTCAATTCCTACCTACTTACCCCAAATTCTTCAGGCTCTTACAATTTGGCTCAAGACCCCATCATTCAAATGAGATTATTCTTTTCAAGATTCCTAGTGTTTGCTTAACTGATAGATCCAGTAGCCTCTTCTCTGTCTTCTTCCTACTAGACCAACCAGCAACTTTTGACACTGTGAATCCTTGGC